CCAGATGAACATCTGCCTCCTCCATTTTGCAGATTGTTTTCAATCCTTGTGCCCTACAGTGTCACATCAGGCGATTATCAGCATTTTATTGCCAAAACCAGAAGAGAGCTATGAGACTAAACCCAACAGAAGGCAAAACAGCTGTAAAAAAGGGTTCCACATGCACTAGTCTCTTCATAACAGCGTCTAGCAAGCACCCTCATCTCTCCCAATAAAACTGAAGTGTTTCCAGACAACACAAGCATTATTTAATCCCTCCTCTGCTCTTCCCGTTAGTAAACCACACTCGAGGAGCACAATCGGGCTCCGGAAAGCACCAGGAGTAAGACAGTACAGCCCTGTACTGTCTGAATTATTGCAATAATCCTAATGACTCTTGATCCTTACAAGGCAAATTCCCCCCCCCCAAAACAGAAGCCAGATTTGAAATGAATGCATTGTTGTGATGAAAATGACATCTATTAATATAGAAAAATCTAAGAGAAGAAGCAAATAGCATGGACGTATTCAAAATACAAATAGTTGAGATCAAGTTTAAGATGAAATGGGAAATTCTTTGCTACAATTTTGTCAAAACCCTGTTCCTGTGTCCAAAAAGTCAGGTTTGCTTATCACCAGAACATGCATCAATATGTATCTTTCAAATTAAAAAAGCCAGAAAGACATTGAAACTTAAGTTATTGTCCCACAAGCTGATTTTTTTATTATAGCAAAAGCTATAATCTATGTTTGATGACAGTGTGTTCTCGTTCTGTCTCCCGTGCGGATCACCACTTGGATTATGTACAAATTAGGGATTATAATCCAAAAAAGCACCATCTACAGTGCTTAGAATCTTGCTTAGAAAACCCAGTTCTTTTAGAAGAATAACATTTCTGAGGAAGCCTCCATCTCCAAAGAAGCCCTCCAACTCCGATCATTTAGATCAGCACATCAGAATGCTCTTTATAATCCAAAGCAAAACGAAAATGTGCACTTGACCCCCAGAGTTTGATGTTTCCAGATTCAGAAATTAACTAATCCTCCTCAGCCCACTTAAACCAACAAACTGGGATCGATTAATTCATATTCAATCCAAAACCCTGCAACACCTTCGAGAGGAGACTGGGGAGTACATCCTGATACAATCACTTGTGTGGTGCACTGACACCATCACACAATGCCCACACACATAAGTAACAGGCCAGAGACAGGACACTGGAGAGCACCGAGTCAGACCTTCACAAGCACAAGATGGAGTCTGTATCTAAGAACAGTTACTACTGAACTGCCCTCTACGAGCCTCTGAGAACCCTTTTCCTGGACGATAATGTGTGACCAAGCAATGGAAGCACAGTTGGAAAGAACAGACCTTAATTGAGAAGAATGCACAATACATATCCTTCCTTAAATACGTTCTCCTCCAGAATCTCTTAGGAAGCTAGCTATTGTGTTTTTTTTATACGATTAAAGGAGGGCAGAATATTTGCCAAGAGTATAAATTTTATTTGGCAAAGGCTTTGGAAAACATTACCCAGTGCCTTTTAAGATAGGATCTTTTAAGCACCGAGTAAACACTGAGTCCATTAGCACCAAAGAAAATGTTGTTACTAAGTGGCTGAAGGACCTTCTTTTCACAAGCGGTTCTTGTTAAGAGCCACAGCTCTATAGTGATATTCCAATTCAGTGGAGTTGTAAATAAAATGAGGGAACTGGAACTGGTGTGCCTTGATATCAAGAGCGTAAGGACAGATCAGAAATCCAAAGTCCCTGTGCAATCCAGTTGCAGACTTGCTTTAATTTCTATGTTTCTCAATCCATCTGCGGCTCCTTGTCCTCTCTGTTCTATCTAGACGATGAAGGGACTCGGTCATCTATGATCAGAAACATCTTTGTAGGTGGATGGCGAAGCCCAGAAACGTCTCTCATTATGTTCAGACTTTATTGCCCCCAAATAAAAACAAATGGCACAGCTTTCACACTCCAGCCAACCTTGAACAAAAAGGAACTACAGCTGCCTCCAGGGAGAGTTCACACTGTGACCAATTATCCACAGATGATCAAATATTAGAGGCCACCTATTTCAAAAACCTCTTCAGGGTGGTGTGTAAAATATCAACTTTCACAAGAGTTCTCTTCAAATTCACAGTTTCTGTTTTCAGTTTATCCTTGGGGACTCAATACTGATGACTCTAGTGTTCAAGTCAGAATTGCACTATGATAAGGTAAGCAGGTTTCATGGACGACCTAAAAGCCATATTTCATCAGACATTTGATATAGTCTACCTGAAATAGCATAGCATGAAAAAAAAACCAATATGTAATTAAATTACAGTAAAACACTCCTGGAAATACCAAGTAAGCCAGATGGTGAATTGGATGGGTTGTAAGAAGGTTCAAGGGGAATCAGGTGACAGTGAAATTATTAAAACCAATAAATTACAATGTGATCATGCCTGGGGGGCCTGAGTGACAAAGCAGTGCTCCACAATGCAGTCGTGGAATTGATGTAGTGAGGGCTGCCTGTCTGTTTACACTCGACTGGCTAGAGAGAGGGCGCACGTTTAGAGAACATGCACTGATCCCCAAGAGCTGACGCACAACCACTGCACTGCACACAAGAGGAACTGAAACCACTTTTTAACAATAACAAAGACATGGGTTAGATTTATACTAGGTCTGAAAAAAGTCTTTAAGTCTAAAAAAAAAACAACAGCCAGCAACCGTAGGTTTTTCCCCCTATTCTTATACTCCTGCAGCCTGGCTGCACTCCAACCCTGATGTAACAATAGTGACACAGCAAAATAAAGATAAAAACTATCAGTTGGGTTTGACATGGTTTCTGTGTGCGCCACTCACAAAATAAACCTTCGTTTACATATGGAATAGAAAGTGTGACCATTTAACAGACAGTTAGAAAACATGACAAGGCAACCCAATAGTTAGTTAATTAAAGTTAACTAAAGTTAGTTAACCCAATATAAAGTTAATTTTATATTTGATTTATGGCTGGTATGAACTGTATACTTATACATTTATTAGCATTTTGTAGAACTGCAATTGACAATTAACAAAGTATCCTTATTTGGACAATGTAAACTTAAGTTCTACTAAATAAAGTGTTAATTGACATCTGTAATTAACCAAAATTTATGAGCCATTCTATAAGGGTAATATAGTACTTTCTTCCTCAAGTGGTTGTCTGAGGACATGTTTTTGAACACATTCCACCCTGCAGAGAATACGTTTAGGATTTATTTTATAGGTGCAGAAATTCAATAAAAGAGGCATGTTATTAGAGATCCAGTGGTCTGGTTAATAGCACTGCTGTCAGAGGTCTCTTCAGGTCCTGGGACCTGGGAAGCCTACTGTTGTGGGGGGGGGGGTTGTGCAATTTCTCCAAGGTTTGGGTAACTGGTAATTTTTGTGTGAGTGGCAATCGATCCAGATTGCAGTCCTGCCTTCAACTCTCTACAACTGGCAAGGGTTCTGAGCTACCACCATGCTAACCACGATCACACAGCTTTTAAGGAGGGATGGCATTTAATGTCAAAATTATAGAATTCAGTCGCCAAATTGCAGCAAAACATTCTGCTGTTCTGGAACCAGTCCATACCAGACTACAAGGATACAAGCATTCAAAATCCTTGAGGTGACTGGCAAATTCACCACAACAGACTTCCTCAGAATCAAAAGGAAAAAAGAATCAAAGGATACAAGTGGAAAATTCGTGGATATTCATTTACAACTGAGAACAGGAGAAACTTCTTTACTTCAACTTCTTTAGAGTTGTGTGAGTATGGAAAAAGAAGTTAAAACCCTGGTTTCTTTCAGGAAACCTGTATTAGATCCTCAGATCAACTATTGGCAACCAAACAAGCCTGATGATGAATCAGCTCCTTGGTGTTTATCATATCAATTGGTAACTAACAGGGAAATATACTGTATTTTTGGAAAAACGTGGTGGCAGTGGGAAGAATAATTACCTTTATATATAGGCAAATACAAAAGAGACAACCCAGCCATGTTAAGTTCTTAGGACAAAAAGCCGATTTCAGTGAACAATCACATAACAAGTTCAGTCTTTTGCTTCTAATTCCAACATTATTCAGAATAATTACTCATCTTTATTAAATTACATTCTGTCCTAGATGCCTTCGAAACCCAGAAAATAGGCAAAATGAAAATTACAGCACACAAGTTTTACCAATAAATGTCCATTTTTCGTGACAAAACACATTGTCCCATTATTACGCAAAACCTGCCTCGTTTCAACACAGTTTAAGGTTGACCAAAGGGCGATATTTCGGATACACGGTTTTATAGCCATTGAAACACTTTATTTTAATGCAAGAAGCGAACAATTCATAGTACGGAGAGGAAAACCGAGATAAAGAATACACATTGTTCCTCCCAATCCATGCTCGACTCATGAGCTACCATTGAGATTGGATAAACAGCTTTAAGAAATACATACCGGTCTCGGCTCAAACCTTTGTATGTTATTGAGTGGCACAGGCAATGCAACTCACTCAGACCTCGGGTCAATTAATTTTATTACAATTTTCTGCATTATACAAAACAAACTGGGTTTACCTAACAGAATGTGAGAAAAGTTAACCTAATGTTTTGTCTTCCCTGGTTTGTAGTACAAAACCACATCAGGAAACAAAGGACAAAATGAATAAAACAACATGAAAAATAAATAAAGCAACCCAAATAAACAAAGGGTAGCTGAAAAACCAAAATCGGTAATAAATGACACACGAAGTGCAAGCACATTAAAATCTGTCCTTTTATTAAGAAAAGACCGAACTACGTGAGAATCGACGTAGTCAATTGTTTGAGATACAAATGTTTTGTTTAGGTGTTATCTCTATTGCGTAGCCAGTAAATGGACTCAACTCGCATTGCCTTCTGATTATTGAAAGGACATATCTACGGTGCATTACATGACAAACACTTCTGCTTACCAAGTAACGAAAAATGAAAATGAATACAGTAATTGTGCACTCCCATACCTGATATGGCGGCGGAGGCTCTTGGTCCGGGTCTGTCCCGTCACCATAACTAGCTCTGTCCGACTGCGATTCATGTAACAAGGAGATGTCATCCGAGGTCGGAGATTTCAGACAATTGCCCATCTCCTCTTTGACCTCCTTGTGTATCTCTTATCTTCTTCTCAGTTACACACCTTTACCTGCGAGCCCAATCTTCCAAACCGAAACAAAACTAATTGACTCCCCATGCAATCCAGCACCCAACGCCGAATGGCGACTTAAGACTTGCACAGACTTGGAAAGATGAAATCAGAACTTTTTTTAACAACCAGCTAGTTTTAAAACCCTTTCCTGCTGCCTCGGTACTTGATTTTCCTGTTTAAAAAGCCTTGTTGTCTTTTCCGCCCGCAGACAATACAGCAGCTGCTGCAGAGCTGGGCTCAACGTCACGCCTGAATGTCGTACTACGTCAGGAGAGGTGGTACAGTTTGCGTTGCTAGTGTGTAACGTGCCCTACCTCCCAGTTTATTATTATTATCATGAATAATAATAATAATAATAATAATAATAATAATAATAATAATAATAATAATAATAATAATAACGTGTTTGTTAATTAATATAGGATTTTGTAATGTCACAAATGAAAACAGGTATTATACTGTATTTGCACTATTTGGAGAGCAAAAACAAGCTGTTTACTGAAGTTGGTTATATTTTGTGATAAATTAATTTGTACTACAGATGCTACTTTAGTATTCTTCAGTAATCGTTTTTTTATTTAACTCAAAGATTAATAATATCTATAATAAAAGAGTAACAAAGACATATGGCCCTCCACGTCTTTGGATATGGCACCTACAATATATATTGGGCAAGTTTATTTCAGAGGCAAAATAAAGTGGTTGCATATCTGACTGCCTCTCTAGCAGAAATGCAGCAAAGGTTTACAAAACACATACAGTACGTAGACTTCTGTTTGCGTTTGGACTGTGTGTATACTTCCTCTTTCTAAGTAGTCAAATATCTAGGATGGCCTTTACGAATATCTGTGCTAGTTGCAACATACTTCTCTCTCTCCTCTTATTAAGACATTATATTTACATTATGTCAAGACATTCTAATATATATTTCAAGTACTGGAAAAAGTCAGAAACATCTTTGATGGAACATTGTATTCTCCCACCGTCGAAACCAACATGAACAAAATGGGTTTTCAGAAACAGAGTCCCTTGATGCTAGTCCTTAAGGGCCAGCACATTCTACAGACAGCTCTAATGTCACCTCTTTCAGGCTTAGGACATAGAATTAGTAAGAAGAATGAAATTGGCTCAGTTACGAGAACAGTTAAGTATATTAAATAGTGAAGATTTAAGATGGAATGAAAATTAAAGGCTCTTTAAGATCCAGAGAATCCTTTGTTCTTGTGTCATATTATTGATGTCCCCAACAGAATATTTGGTTTCCCATTAGCAAGATACCCAAAGACACTATATAAATAAGACAGATACATATAAATTGATAAACACTAAAATGTAATATTACAATTTAGTGGCTTCTATGGACTTTTCCTTGATCTTTGAGGAAGAGCTTTTTCATACCAAATAACACACTTTCATTTGTAAGTCTTGTATTCTGTCATACATTGTGGAGTGACACTTATTTCTGAAAATCACAGATTTCTTGCTCTCACTCCCTTAATCTGTCATATTCGACTAGGAAATAAAACATTACATGAGAAAGGTAAAGGAAATCTTGATCTATCATGATCTACTTATTGATGCCACACAGTGGTCAAAAATCAATCCCAAAATTTGTAGTTTTCACCTACATTTACACACATACACACTTATTACACTTATATAGCGCTTTTCTGGACACTCTACTCAAAGCGCTTTACAGGTAATGGGGACTCCCCTCCACCACCACCAATGTGCAGCATCCACCTGGATGATGCGACGGCAGCAATAGTGCACCAGAACGCTTACCACACATCAGCTATCAGTGGGAAGGAGAGCAGAGTAATGTAGCCAATTCATAGAGGGGGATTATTAGGAGGCCATGATTGGTAAGGGCCAATTGGAAATTTGGCCGGGACACCGGGGTTACACCCCTACTCTTTTCGAGAAGCGCCCTGGGATTTTTAATGACCACAGAGAGTCAGGACCTCAGTTTTACATCTCATCCGAAGGACGGCGCCTGTTTACAATATAGTGTCCCCATCACTATACTGGGGCATTAGGACCCACATGGAACGCAGGGTGAGCGCCCCCTGCTGGCCCCACTAACACCTCTTCCAGCAGCAACCTTAGTTTTTCCCAGGAGAAATTGTTAGTAGTTTCAACTAAAATAAATAAAAAAAACACTGCTATGCACACTTAATTCCTATATATTCTTTTTTTTTAAGAGAATAAAGTTTGGTATTATTTAAACTTCATCAGCTTATCAATCTGTCTAAAAAGCTACAATGTAACAGTGGTCTCTTCTGTGGAGTTGTCTTTTGCGGGTATAAAACCCATGCATTTCCATGGACCTGCGGAGACTGGCTATCTGTAAATATCCAACAAACGAGATGGGAGCAGTGGGTGGCTAGCCTCCGTCTGCTAAAGCATCTAAGACTGTACAATTTCATGACGACAGAATTAAGTGATTGACACAATAAGAATATTACCATAAATCTAAGATCCGAGGAGCAGAAAAGATATTAACAACATTTCTTTAAATAGAGATACCTGACTTTGTGACCTATGTGATTTCATTTCTACAGTATCTGGAGAAATTCTGCACATTGATCATTGTAATTATGTGATCAAAAAGTGACTCAAATCTAATCAACTCTTTACCTGAATTCAAGGTGATACGAACAGATCCCATTGCCCTGACTTCCACATAATTGTGTTACTTACACTCTGTACAGGTGTTTAATCTCTGCTTGATCTAGGGTGCCTCGCAAACATATTCAGATCCTTGCAAGGTTTTTACATCTTGTTGCTTTAAAGCTTCCACTCATGACACTTTGGAGCAGCAATTGATGTTACTGTATATACATAACCAACTCAGTGCAATCAAAGCAAAAAATAAAAGGAAATGAGTAAATAGAGTAAAAAGAAATAAGTAAAAATTGAAAAAAGAACTTTGATATCTTTTGGTGTAGCAAACTGAAATGATTTAAGGTACACAGAATTACTTTAAACAGCCACGTAATTTGTTAAGTGACATACTGTAGGTCTGTTCTCATTTACTGTATAGTGGTTCACATGATTTCAGAATAAACACATCTGTCTCTGGTTTGGTCCCTCATTCAAGTAGTGAACCTAAAAATATTCAACCATGAAGACCAAGGAATTTTTAAAACAACTTAGGGATACATTTGTAGTATAAAATTGTATAAAAGCACCAATCGGGAGAATGCACAGATCAGGAGCATGGTATGAAAACATTTCAGAGACCCTAACTATCTCTTTCAGCATGGTTTAACTGTATTGACTGGTCATTAAGAAGTGTAAGGCACTGTAAGGCTGTACCCCCAGACTGAGTCAGGCAAGGAGGAAACTAGTTAGGGACGACTCTTAGAAAGAGTTAGGATTGGAGAAAATGTCTATGAGTTAATTCTATTCTGTTCACTCCACAAAAGAAACAATGTCTCATATCCTGCATGGGGGTTATTGCAAAACACCTAAGTGATACTGCAAGCATGTTGCAAAAGGCTTTGAATTCAGACACAACAAAATTGGAACGTTTTGGTCTAAAAGCAAAGGATTACATCTGACACAAATCCAACACAGTGCATAACTTTTTCAAAACCTTCCTTACTGTCAAGCATAAAGTTATAATTCTACCTCTCACCAGGAAGCTTGGTAAGACAGAGCAAAGTACTAGAAAACGTTTAAGAAAAACCTGCTTCAGACCTAAAACCAGGACAAACGTAAACATTTCATTAGGACAATGTTCCTACAAGGCCAAAGCTACAATGGAGAAGTACAGTAAGTACTCATAAAGTGAATGTCTTGAGTGATCCAGTCAAAAGTTCTGACCAGAATCCTACTGAGAAATTGTGGAAAGAGTTGAAAACTGTTGTTCATAAACAATCCTTCAAGCAACTTGCAAAAGCTTGAGCAAATCTGCCAAGAAGAATGGACAAAAGGTGTAGCAAGCTGGTGTACGAAGTCGGCACAGACTTACCCAAAAATACACACAGCTATAATTGTTGCCAGAGGTACTTCTATTCAATATTGAGTTCACGGATCTGAATACTTATACGATCATATATTTTATTTTTTTCTCTTTAATGATTTATCCTGATATTGACTGTAAGTCTTTCAGTTTGAGCATTCAGGTTTTGAAATAAACATGAATTTAAAAAATGTGTATATGCATCCCTTTAGAATTTGTGAAAATGGGACACCATCGCAAGAGTCATTGCATACTTTTGAAAGGTACTCTAAATAATGTAAAACGTTGCTTGTGTCTTAACATTTTGTGAAATTTGTAAAATGCAGAAATTGTTATGTGCTTGTTAGGAGAGAGTATGTTAATTACTATATAGGAGTTGTGAGATTATATATTTTAATGATTTGTGAGTAATAATTTTGATATTACTTGGACATTGTTTCTCAATCTTGCTTTTCATTTTTAATTCTATTTAGATGTTTACATAAGATCTTGATGTTTCTATCAGTCTATAAGCCATAGAGACAAAATATACTGTATTCAATTTGAAATGCATAATTACTGCGGCCCTGTAGTTCTCTCATTCTGGAAGACAAAGTTTGGGTGTCACAGAGGATGTCATCAGTTACACCTGTCTGTGGGATCTCTGAGTCTTTTGAGAGTCATGTCAAAACCATCAAATTATGATTTATTTTTATCATCTGTGTGAAGTTTCTAACATCATAACTTCAATAAGACATTCATGCCAGTTAATAAATAGACAAACAAGGGAAAACACTAAGATATTTATTTTATTAATTACCCTTCATTACAAAATCAAATTTATTTACAGGAATGTAAAACTGCCCAGTAGCCATACCCCAAGGTGCAAAGTGTTTTAAACTCACAGTGCCTTCAGAATGATTTTCTATGGATTAACTCTTTACCCTGTATTTTTGCTATTAAGAGATTATTCCCATTTTTGAATAATACAACAAAGAAAGTTTAGGTGCATTAGAAACTATAACCAGTGTTTATGGCCAATTATTTGACACCAAACAGTGACTATTTCCGTTTTTCCAATGTTGTGGTCAAAGTAATGTAATATTTTAGCCTTCAGAAATCCCCCTATTTGCATACACAATGCTAATGCCAGTAAAATCAATCACAGAATGGTATAGATACAGTATGTCTCTACTGTCCATGTTTCATAGACAAACGTAAATCCAAGGAGAACATCTTTTATGACAATGAAAGATATGTGACTGTCATTCAGGTGCTCGCATGGAAAAGAACTGTGGATTATT